CTTTCTCGCCCCGGAGCTCGCAGGCAGCAATCCGCCACCTCGACCTCCGGGGCGAGAAAGCCCCGTTCGTAAGTGCAGATCCGACATAAATTGGATCCGCGTAAGTCAGGGACTGCCTGTAGATGTTACTGCAATGGTGATATTGTCTGTGTGGTTTCCCTATTTATCCCTTTCTGGATACAGTTGATACACTAAAGTCCACTGGAATCTTCAACAGAAACAAAAGAAAGATATAATTCCTGGAGAATAGGAATAAAGAGAACATTGTCCTGGTTCATGTCCTGCAGGCTAGACTATAATATCCTATAAAACCTCGATTGTCACAGTTCAGGAGCAAGTGTCAACAGGGAGTCTCGAAGAAGATGTATCAGGCAAGAGAGAGATGATGCATGAACCAGTCTTTCATTCAACGTGTATTTATCAAATTAGAGTACAAAATCCAATACAAATCAGAGATGTATGTGCATGCACATGTGTCCAAGCCCAAGGCAGCTTATTCCTCTTCAGTTTTGTCATTCATTTATGAACCTTGATATTCCACAGTCCTGAGTGGACTCTGTGTGTGGTATAGCAGGAGAAGGAATATAAGGTTGCCTTCTGTCCTCTGGCAGGGTAGCATATTTTCTCCACTACTGCATATGCATTGATTTGATTTATAGCTTGGTCTCTATATGTCTCTCTCTTTCATTATTTTCCATGGATTTCAATGCAGTATTTGTAAGCCCAGCAGAGAGTCAGAAAACACAAATTCCATACTTTCTCAGCTCTGTATAAAGTGAAATCTTTTGTTTTCCACCTCCCTTTAACTGCCTCTGTTCAAATTATTAAGTTGTGTTTGACTGCAACATATGTGACCCTCTGCTGGTGCTTTAAGATCTCCCTTATCCTCTAAAGTGACAAAACACTAGAAAGATTATTACAGAGAATGCCAGGCATTTTCAGTCTCTAATTACTAGTATACTAGATAAAACTTTTCTTGTCACCTTTCAAAATTATTCACAGGTAGCTAGAACTCCATATTGGATCAAAGCAAGGATCTATCTTGTCAGGAATACTGTCTATCAGGGAGGCCAATATCAGGCAAGAGAAGAAGGTTCAAGAAACATGATAGTGGACAAGAATGGAATAACATGTCCATAAGGGTGAAACAAAAAACAGTACTGTGTAGCACTTTAAAGACTAACAAGATGGTTTATTAGGTGATGAACTTTCGTGGGCCAGACCCACTTCCTCAGATCAAATAGTGGAAGACGGTTGTGACAATATGGTTGTGACAATTTTCTTCCACATTTGATCTGAGGAAGTGGGTCTGGCCCACGAAAGCTCATCATCTAATAAACCATCTTGTTAGTCTTTAAAGTGCTACACAGTACTGTTTTTTGTTTCACCCTTATGGACATCATAAGGGAAATTTCTTCCTAGTCTCCATTTTGCATGCTTTCATGCAGGGAGTTCACCAGGGCTATAGTTTGTGCTGCACCCTGTATTTTGGAACTCCAGTCTTGACTGGGGTCACTAGGTTCTGCTGCCTATGATAACTACTTATATGGCTCTCATTGCCACATAGTATCTGCACACTTCACAGTCTTTCATGTATTTGTCCTGGCATCTTCCCTGTGAGGTGGGGAAGTGCTGTTCTCTCCAGATGCAGACAGGAGGCACAGAGAGGTTATGTGATTAGCCCACATTCACACAGGAAATATGTGGTAGAACAGGGAATTGAACCATGGTTTCCTGTCCCAGACTAGCATGCTAATCTCTGGGTCATCCCTCCTTTTTGACATCAATATTACATACTACTAGTATGTAAGATTTGAAGATCTTTCCAGCCATAACTCTTCACACAAAGTACAGTCAGCCTTCTAGAACTTGTTGCCAGGTGATGTTGTGAAGGCAAAAACTACAATTGTTTTTTGTATCCATTTAGATATGGAGAATGATTTCATCAATGGCTGTTGGCCTGCTCAGGTGGTCAGAAATTCAACCTCATTATCTGGTTTCCTATGCATCTCATTTTCAGA